TTATCTATATACGAGATAGTTTTAATCTCTCCTAAGCCTTATAGAAAATTTGAGGATAATAATATATCGGATTAGCTACTATTTTATTAACTCTAGTTAGGACCTATCTTTAGGGAAGGTTACCTTATCCTATAATCGCTCCTATCCTAGTATAAGTCTACTATAGGAGCGACCCTAGACACTTCCTAGCACACTTTAGACTTAAAACCGTTATTTCCTATAATCATATCCTACTACTAAACGAAAGCGCTTAATATATTATATAGGTCAATATCTACTTATATATAATATATCGTTTCGTTAGTGCTAAGATAATAAAAGGGATTATACGAACTATCTAGGATATTAAGTGCTAGAGATATTTCGTAGTTATAATTATACTTATTACTAGATATATTTAGGGCGAGGTATAGAATAAAAATTGATCTTAGATATAGTAGATAGATCTTATATCTCTCTACTCTAAACGCTAGACTCCTAATAGGGCCACTAACTATTAGGTAATAGGAGCTCTTTATTAGCTATAGTACCCTATTGTTCGACTTTTGCCTCTTAGACTTAGGGAGGTAAGAGTAGGCTTAGACAAAAGTACGTAGTCCGGGATCTATATAGTTAAATTAGAGCTAGGGTAAGAATAAGGTAAGAATAGGGTAAGAACGGGGTAAGAAAGAGATTATTTAATAAATTATCACCCTAGTTATAAAATAAGTCTATTATTTAAAGGAGTAATATTTATATATAAATATCTTATACTATAAGACACAATAGAAGTAGATTCTTTATCTTTACTTCACTATACAAAACTCGATAGATATTAGCTAGCTTAATATTAGTACCCGGCAAGATTCTATATTTATAATCCAAGATAACGGCTAGCTACGATATATAGTCTCCGAGTTATATAACCAAGATAGGTAATATCTATTATTATATATATTCCTCGGCGGGAAAATAAAGAATCACACTCTTTAGCGGCTCTACCCTCTTAATAATATAAAAAGATATAATTCTAAGGCTCTAATAAAATTGCGATATAATATCGCTTCTTTACAAAGCCGGCGGCTAGTATTGCTAGCCGATAGTGACGTCCTGAGTACCGATAAATTGTACCCTACAAAAAGACTTAATACCGGCGTTAGCTATCCTATCTATTGGAATAACTATTTAGCGGCCAAAATCCTACTAGTATTATAGTCTTAGTTAATATTTATCTTTACGGATATAGTTTGTATCTTTATCGACGACGCTACCTATCTTAAAAAGGTCGTGAGCTTTCTTATTAGCTATTTATAGCTTTGTTCGACGTCCTTATTCTTATCCTAATATTTACTAAGGGCGATATTTATTTATAGCCTATCGGTGATAAAAGAAAAGGGCGTATCTAGTTTAGGATTACTCTACCGGAGAATCCGAGAAAGCGGATATAATGATTTATCTAGGTTATTCTCTAGCTCTATATATTTATACCTATAGGATAATGATTTCTCTGATATTATAAGATTCTAACGTATTAAAGTGTCTATTATAGAATAGGTCGACACTATTTCCTCTATTCGATAAGAAAACCGAGCTCGGCCGAATAGGATATATTTAGTAGTATTGTTTTAAGCAGCGGTTTAACAAATTCTAGAGGATATCTCTTATCCGTTCGATTTCGTGAAAGCTATAAGGAAGGATCGCCCTATTAGTTCATACGCTAAGCTATATTTAGCGTATTATCTTAAAATTAGCCACTATACTAATCTCCCCCTCTCCGGATTAGCCGCCACTATTTTGTCCGCGCTTTTTCTAGACCACTATATACCTAAGATACTTAGTTAGTCCTATCTTAATATTTTATAGGCTAAAGCTAATACTAGATAGCTATAAACCCCTATATAGTATTTAGAACTTTATATCGGTCTATTATTATTATAGCGTATCGTAGTTCTAAGGTACTATAGCCTAATATATATCCCGCCAAAGAAAGTGATCTAGTTAAGTTTTATTTTTCGCGCTTATATAAGCGATTCTCGGAGAACGTAGTCTCTTCGGCGAATTTACGTAAAGAAGAACTTAAATCCTTTAGTGGTTAGTTATATTGTATACAAAGTAATTATATTTGTCTAGTCTATATTCTGCGTTCTATATAATATATTCTAGTATATAGATATATAGTGTGCGACCGCTATACTTAGATTTTTGGAAGCCCTACCTCCGGGCTAGAGTATTAGTTTATAATTAAGGGCTATCTCTATTACCTCTACTAGAGGCTATTAGTGGTAGATATCCTTCTACTAACTATAAGCCCTATAATCCTTACTATCGATAGTAGTAGAGTAAGGGGGGTGATTCTATTAGAGTTCCTACTTCTAGTGTAGGAGTATCTACGCCTATACGCGATATAAGATATAGTAGACCTTATACTTAGTATAAGTTTAGGTAAGTTAGTAACCTTATAGCGTAAATATAGTTTTTCCGAATCAGGAAACCTAATAAAGGATATTGTAGGTAGGCTTATCGCCCTTAGGCTATTCGCAATAATATAGGATATTATATATTACTTAGAGCGATTTAATACCTTGGCCTATTATATTTTCTATAAAAGATACCCCTCTATCTTTCCTATACTACTTCGCTAGGTATTTAGCTTTATATCTATCTTTAGGGATATAGCTAAATAGGTTAAATAGCTCCTATATAATAGCTACTATGATTTATAGGTCTTCGATACCGCCCTAAAAAGTGCCTTTAGAGAGTGTTATCGTATTTTTAGTACCACTTAAGAAGATCCACTAGGACTATAACACTCCGGCCCGAAGGTCGGGGTAGTAACTATAAGTATTTCTAGGAATATAAGTGCTTTTGTGATAGGTAACTTTAATATAGCCTATAACTTAGGGGATAAAAATAGTAAGTTCGATAGTTATATTTATATATACTTTTACTAATACGACTAGACTTTTAAATTATATATCTAGATAATACTTAAAATAAACCAACTATATAGCGAATATAGGCCGGAGCTAAGAATATACCCTATTTTCTTTAGTTAGCGCTAATTAAGTTCTAGAGTATAAGCCACTACCACAGCTCTGTTATAAGTCGATATAATCTAATATATTATTTCCTACGAGTAGGGCTCACTATTAGATTATAAGTTTTTTACCCTAGCGGATCTATAGGGAATCGGTTCCTTCTAGGATAGTGGACTAAGATATAACTTCGCGGGAGAGATTATATATTAGGTCTCGCACCAAATTTAGCCTATAGCTATAGGTTCTATAAGAATACTATCACTAGGTACTAGAAAAGCGTAGGCTAATAAGTAAACCCTGTATTTTCGCTATATCTTTTGTGATAGTTTCTTATACTAGGGATTTAATACATGGATATTAACTATAGAGATAGATAGCGATTGGCGAAAATAGCGAAGCTATCTAGATACTTCTGTCCAAGGTAATAGTCACTACCTAGATATACCTTTAGGAAATATACCTTATACTATTAACACTATCGAAGCTATAGAGGACTATCGCGATCTTGTTATCCTCTAGGTAGGTAGTGGACAAATAGCCCGGGATACGGTAACTACCTTACTTATCTCTAGGTTCTTCTTCGTTGTCGACTTATTGCCAGAAAATACTACGACCCTATTCTGGTATCGCGGGTTAGTGTATTATAAAGGACCGGCTTAGATAGTGATATTAGCTTTAGAAACTCTCTACCCTAATAGACTTAGCTTTATCTTAGATTGTGGATTAATCGATAGTTTTGGCGGTCTAGATAGTCTCTACCCCTTGTGCGGATACTATAACCGCTCCGTTACTTTCTTAACCCGCTATCTAGAGTATATAGTGAACCTATATTTATAGATTAGCTCTAAAAAGTGTTAGAGGATTAGTGGCTTCCTAGAGAGTATAGTATCGTTTGTTTCACGACAAGGCCTATAGTCTTTGTTTAGTCAAGACAACTATAGGTATCCCTACCGATAACCTTGCTAGAGCTATAACGTGATCCGAAATCCCGTTAGGGGGTAGGAGATATAAGCGCGAATTAAGAGGCTCTAGAGATATTTATCCTAGGAAACACACACTTATTTAAACCGGGATCAAACCTAGAATATATTTATAGCGTATCCGATAAAGAAACTCTTAGGTATAAATATAAGTCCTTTTTCGTCTATAGCAAAAACTTATAACTTCTATGACTTATAAAGTTTCGTTACCCCTTTCCTTATTCCAGATTCTTTTACTAAATAGTCTTAAAGTTATAGGTAGCCCCGATCCTTATAGGAACTCCCGAGTCAAATTTATAAGGTAGTCCTAGACATTGAAAACCAAAGCTTATAAGCTTACTAAGTTCTACGATACGGATATCTACCTAGTCTTTAATTATCAGCGAGGGTCGTTTATCTATAACTTAGTCGAGGATAGATCGTGGCCCCCTAATAATAAATAGCTAGTGAGTAATATAATACCCAAAGAGGCTTAGGGTTTCGGCGCTATTAAGCTAAGAGACTAGTAGGAATAGTAGTATCCCAATCTAGAACGAACAAATTTTAGCAAAATAGAAGGCCTACTAGAAAGCCCTAAGAGTAATTTATCTCGGCTCACTTAATATTTCGCCACTAGATTGGAGTATTTTCGATTATTAGAGGATCTCTATAGGGATATAGACCTAGTAAATATTGCTGCTGATAAAGAGGCTCTATATATTAAGTCTTGTGAATATAATTAATAGAATATACTTCCTTTTATAATGCGACAAAATATCTACTAAGATTTTGTAGTTACTCGGAAGATCCTACCTTCACCCTAATTCAATCAAGCGGAACGAAAGTTAGTACAATGTAGAGGGGAGAATAGATGGTGCGTATCCTTTGCGTCAGATTATACTTTGCTTTTGTGAAAATAAGTCAAGCTCCAGGTGACATAATATCTTACGAGCTATTTTAGATGTCGCAGGTTTCCTTAAGGACCAAAGGCTACCCTTCATTTTACAGCCTGTCCAGCTTACAAATGCGAACATGGCAACTCAGTCCCCTAGTCGTTCTTGCTAGTATAGCACACTGGATACTTCTTGCTGGATATCTTGTGAGACCTGGAACGTTCACATCTCTCCAAAAGTCCGACACCATCCACAATGGCCTCGCCGATAATGAAGCAGGGGAGTGGATTTTAAATACTATTCAGAATCCTCCCCTTCTCGCAACGGCATGTGTACTATTTGTATCAGGCTTGGCGATCATGAGCTGGCTGTTCTGGGAATATCAGGGGAATTATATTTGGCTTACCAATCGAATCTTTGAGTATCATCTATTCATTATACGAGAACTTTCCTAATTATACTAGTCCCACGCTTCTGAATGCCTTAGCTGGCTTTCTCACTACGATTATCAGCCTATACACTGCTCACGATGGCGATTGGTCTATCATGGTGCTTTTGACTGTGATTACTTGCTCCCTCATTTTGCTATATATTGTAGTGGGGGACCCTGTCTCCCACTACGTATTGACCTCGCCCGTCCTGTCATTTACTGAGTGTTTGATTAGGTAATCTAGGAACGCTGAAGGGTACAAGTAGTTAGGAGAGACAGATTGAAGAAGACACACCTCCACACCTCTCTGAATTGACTTCTTAGGCTGCAGGCCTAGGTTCCTTTGTATGCAAAATCGAGTATAAGACTGAACTACGGATGCTAAATCGACCCGTATGCCTTAGAGCATACAGCCTTAAGCATTCCCCTCTTTATATGGTGACCGACGCAGGGAATTTGTCCTAGGGTGGCTAAACACGCAGCGCGATAAGTTGACTCTCGACAGAGTATCAAGGAATTGAGTGATTTAGAGAGTTCGAGGGTGTCGAAAAAGGTGCGGATACGATTTGACCCTAAGAACTGTTAACAGGTAGGACAGGCTAGTGGAGAAGGACTCTAGGCGTCCCCTAGATATATCACCTCGACCGGTAGAAGTGAATTGAGCTATTGTTAGAGCTAGTCCGGTGATTGGTGTAAATAAGGACAATGGCCTTCTTTTATAACGAGTATACTTAGCTAGTGAGAGGCTTACTAGCTAATAGGTTGGTTAATCCATCCGAACTACGCGTATTGGCGTACATAAAGCCCAAGGAACTAGCGATTTCAGCCGAAAGGATTTGGCCGGGAATCGGATACCTCTGGAATAGTGTGCTAAAAGAGTATATACTATAGACAATTATAAGATTCCAGTTAGAGAAGCAGAAGAAAGTACCCCAGAAACCATCGCCAGTCAAGGTTATAAAGGATCGCTCGTCTTCGCTATCATTTTCTGAGACCACTATAGAGTGTGGTAGTAAGGACTACGTTGGTTCTTTTTCTATTAATTTCACTGATCCTATCGATTTCGCCTATTCTGCTAAAGCCCCTATTTACAAAAACCTAAGAAACCAAAAAAAGAGACCCGATAGGATAACTGAGGAGAATACCTGCCCCGATAGAGACTCGCGCCTCTTAGCCCTCCTCGAACCGGGAGATACGCCTAGCCCCTCCTCTGGCCGAACCCCTTCGCCATTCGAGGGGTATCGCGAATATAAGCGCTCTGAGTCCGAGGGCTTATCGCACTCTTAAGCGCCGCCCCGGCTAGCCAAAGCCCTGCTAGTAGCTTACCCCCAGGGTGAACCACCGAGCTAGCCCCTAGTAAACCCGTTAAGCTACCCAACACCCTAGGGAACTCCGTAGGTATAGCAAGGGTTCTTCTCGCTTCCTATACCCGATCCTAGCACCCTAGGTACTCCGTTCTTTAATAGGTAGGATGCTACTAAGGCCCTCGAAAACTTCGAGAGACTCTGTAAAAGATAGGGAATAGTAGACCCTAGGTCGCTATACAAGTTGTTCCCCGACTACTACGAGAAGAATATCCGCTAGTGGGCAAAGAGTAACCAGGCGTATATCGAGAGAGACTAGGCTACACTCAAGCGCGAGATCTATAAGGATTTCAAGGACCAGGATAGCGATTACCAGAGGTTTATACGGTCGGTATTGATGACCCTAGTCTAGTAACCCTATGACACCGACGTAGAGCTTCGCCACTATCTATCCCAGTTTATATTAGTTATATCTGTGCCACTATAGCGGGGGATGATACTAGAGTGGTAGTGCTGTGAATGGCTACTCTCTGGCCTGCCAGAGTGGCTACGAACAAAAGTGGTTAGGAAGGAAGGAATTAGCTTCGAGGACCCCTCGGTAGTAGGCACAATCTGTCTCGGGTGGGTTACACAGGTGGTTAACAGCACGCTCATAGCCCGGCGTAGGGAGGACAAAGCCTTAAAAGCCATGGCCCAGACGGGATACCTACAGCAACCCCCAACCTAAGAGCACAGCTAGACGAGGACTTGGAAGAGGACATTAAGAACCGATTCCTAAGCACAAAGGTGGAGATCTCTTTGAAAGAAATAGCTAGGTTGTCTTTAAGATTCCGCCGCACCGACAGGCTGAAAAGGTTCTGGTTATACCGGGACACAGCGGTGCGCCAAGAGTCTTTTCCGCCGAAAAACGTGCCCTTTGACCAGGACTCCAGTGGCGAGGACGGCAGAATAGAGGATGATACATTGAGTGGCCACAAGTCTCTACTTCCCGGAGAAGGAGTATAGGGTTAATGACGCTTAGTTTTTTTTTCGGGTTTCGTTATGCGTTGATTTTGATGGACTGAAAAAAAAAAAAAAAGAAAGAAAGAAATTTTTGTTATTTTCTATTATTTTCTCTTGTTATTTCGGTGTATTTCCATTTTTTTTATACTATTTCCCCTTAGATTCTCTTTTTTTGCCGCGAAGATCAAGGAGCCGAATACTTAAGGGCTACTACGTGGACTCGGACTAGACTCGACAGCGAGCTTGTTAACCGAGACGGCCAGATTTATCAGGAGGGGTAGGAGACTACATCAAGAAATTCTAGGGATCTTTTTTGCTCGATAAAAACGCTATAAGAGGCTAGGTTTCATAAGACTGCTAAAAGGGGATCTACTATACCATAAAAAGGAGCCACCACAATAATACCCACTGAGGTTATAAGAGGCAAGAGAAGCATATAGCTACCACTACTAGTGGGTAGTAGGAAGGATCGAAGAAGGGAAACGCGCGACTAGACCAGTATACTCCTTGTGCGGAGCATTAGCACTACCCCGGTACCCTTACTCGATAAGCTAGGATATAGAGCGACGGAAACACTAAATAGCGCCATACTAGTGGTGAATATAGTCCTCTGTGTCTACCGACTTATGCTTAGAGAAAGAAATTTGTGCGAACTTCTTAGGACTTCTGTCGAGCTTAACGAACTAGGGGGTAGGTAGCCGACTTAGAAGCTAGCCACAATAAGAGGAGCGATAGGATTGCTAAGGGAGTACCGATATATTAGAAAAGACTAAGATCACACGCAAAAAAGGGGAAAGGATCTTATAGAGCAGCCAGGACGGATACTATACTCCTCGATGTGGTTCTTGGCTAGGACACAAAAGGACTCGCAAAGCTAGACAATCCGCTGGGTAATCTACTCTAGCGTGGTCCTAGGTAGAACCTAGTTAGGAACAAAGCCGTTAAAGTTCGGACGAAGGGGGTTATAGGACCCCTAGAATAGACTAGCCCACAATAGTAGGGCTAGTAGCTCTTACCGGTGGCCTTTAATCCCTAGGGGAACCTATAACAAAAGAAGAGCCTTAGATTAGTATCAAAAAGGGGCGTAGTGCGAACGGAATAAGTCCCTACCTCCTCACAAAAGCGATCTATATTGTGGTAGCGTTGGTAGTTATTTATATTACCGGCGTCTTGGATATAGGTAACCCGAAACTAAGTCTAGAAGCCAGTTTCTATACCTAGGGTCGCCTAGGCCTCCGCGCTAGTAGCTATATAGGGGAGATAGAATAGAGCCTAGCTTACCGAGATAGAGAACTACTAACGAGTGTGGCTAATAGGGGGAGGTATTTTACTGGCTTGAAAGAAGAGAAGAAGGGAGAATATAGGAATAAATAAGTCACAAGGCTTAGTAAGAGTAAGTTCACTTAGGTAATAGAGGTGAAAGAGATAATAGATAAGATAGAAGGAGAAAGAGTAAGAAGATAAGAGAGAAGAAAAGAGGTGAAAGAAATATACGGCGGTGATAAAGGGTAGGCTATAGTGCTCTTTTTAGTGCTAATATCTCTTTGATTCAGGAGTGGCTTGAAATTAATATCTCTTTGATTCTAGGATAGCTTACGATGTTTTCTATATCCCTAATAAAGCACAAAGAACAGGCTTCTATAAGGCGAAAACGCGAGGCTCTCCGGCCGAAAAGGCCACTATAAAGAAGTCTATATAGGTAGAAGAAAAGGCCTTACTTAAGGATCAGATTATACCCCTCTAAGCTAAGCCGATCCCGACTAATCCACCTCTAAAGCTTCTATAAACCTAGGCGATAGGATAGCCTCGACTACCCTCTTATAGGGATTCGAACCATAGGAATCTACCTTAGAAGTCTTCTGGGTATAACCGAGAGACTCCTCTAAGCCTACCTTTGAAAGAATTAAGCACGCTGTGGAAAGCTAACCCCCCGAGAAACGATACAACCTCTAGCTTGAAGTTGGTGAGTATCTCCTAAAAATCCGTGACGAGAATACCGAGGTAGTCTCTCGATAGTATAACTACGTCGTTTAAAGCGGCGCCTAGAAGAAAGAGCGCACTAAAGCTAGCTTTCGTGAGGAGTGGGATAGGGCTCGATAGGTCCACGATAGGCACTAGTAGAGCCTCGCGTATATCTAGTCTACCTATAAGAAGGCGTCTCTGGAGTAGGGGAGGGAGAATATAAGCTATCTATTTACCTTAGTCTATACTAAGACGATAGTAGAATAGATTAGGAAGCTACTTGCTAAGGACGTTACCTTCGACTAGATAAGGAGGGCTATAAACCACGAGCTAGTTTAGAGGCTTGGACGGAGTGGCCGAGGACACCGAAAAACGAAGTATTGGATCTAAGGTGACCTCTTAAATATAGCGGCTTACCTACGCACTAAATACCTCCCTCTATCCCGCTTTAAGCGACTAGGGTTAAAGCTAGATTAATATAGGTTCTTAGTAGAAAAGTAGGGACCTCCGTCCCTAGATCTCTACGATAATAACGACAACGATATAGTGCTGATAGAGGAAGACCCGGAGTTTATAGGGGACAGAGAATTAGACTTAGATTTAGACTAGACCGACCTACCTCTTACCCTACCGACTACTAGCGTAGTAAAAAGGAAGTAGAGAAACCGAAGGTTACGGGATAGATAGCCTATACTCGCTACCGATAGTCCCCTACACCGAAACGCCCTTAAGTCGAGCCTTAGCCACAATATCACTACGTATTGTCGAAGTCCCTTCTACGGTGGCTTAAGTCGATGGCTATTTACCCTATAGACCGAGAAAGGTTAATTATACTACGAAAGGCTACGAGAGTTCCGGGTATCTTTTCGGCCAAAAAGATTTATTTTACGTACGCGAAGGCACTAAGTGGCTACCTAGGATTATACACGCGATAATTTAGGTACGCCGACTTACTTAGCTAACTATTATAC